TGATTATAGAAAAGCCACCAATTGCTGCAAAACCAGCAGTCACTGCAGGAGCAAGAATAAGAATTGTTCACTGCTAGAAATATCCATATTAATTTGTAATAACAGTTACGAATATTGTTGATTACAAGCTTACATTTGAGAAAAACACAGACGTAAGAAGAGCCAACAGAGACTGTTCTTCCTAAGAAAACTGTTCCTTTAATGTGTGGGTGTGGTACAACGACGACTTTATTCTACAGAAAGTTGAATCTGTCCTGACATTCACTGCAGTAGCCTACACAACTAAAACACAGGATAGTGAAGACAGCCAGCAAACTTACTGTGCACAAGTGATGAAGTTAATTAGGTCGTTTTTTCTGTCTTTCTTTGCAGCTGTATTGGAAGTGAGTTATTTTCAAGTTTCCCTTTTTGAATTGTGCTCCAGATTGTAAGAAGGTTTGTAATTAAATGCTGTACATCATTTGCTCTGTTTTACTTTTGTTTTCATTTACGCAAATTGATACTTTTGCATTATTATTTGTAACAGGAAATTTAAAACTGACACATTAGCATTCTGGTTACCTTGAAGTGGAACCTGTGTTGACAACAAATCAACCAGTATGATTCAGGGTATTTGTCCTGTTTCGATTGGGCTGCCACCGATGCCCCAGTGATTCCCTGCTGCCCCTGGTGCAGCCTCAGTCCCGCCAGGAACTCCTTCTGACAACTGGAGATTGTTATAAACCTGCAATGTTTATTTTTGATTCTTGACAAGACAGTGAAATAATTTTAGAGTAGTATAGAGAACCAACTGTACAAAGATGTGGGGAAGTGGAATGTGTTGCTCGTCATGCTACTCCTCCCTGCAAAATGCTACAGCTGTCATATGGTGTAGATTGTTTTAGTAAAGAGCTTTGCAGAAAAGGGTATGTGAGATAACCAGTAGGTGACAAAACATCTCCAGCGCTCTTAGTGTGTTGAAGCTCAGCGTGTAGAATCAGGTTGGTCCAATCGAGACCTGTGTGAGCAGTGCGGACTGAACTGAAGCTGCAGTGTCCCTCTCTCGGGCTCAACTGACTTCAGGATAGTGTCGTATCAGTTCTGGGGTCTCAGCTGCTCTGTGCATGTTTTGGGCAGCTGTGGGTCTTTCCCTGTCCGTCCCTGTGGTTGCAGGAGCTCTGTTGCCCTCAAGGTATGTTAAACTGTCAGAGCTCACAGGATGTATCTCTACATTGTAAATGACCTTAGGTGTTAATGTCATCTTCAACTGTAGTGTGTGTGCCTCTGAGAGTGCAGTCACTGCTGTCTCTGCGCTGTGTGTGTCTGAAAGGCCACTGGGCTGTGTGCTCTGAGCTCTGTGTGTCTGACAGGCCACTGGGCTGTGTGCTCTG